ACAGTTCTTCCAGTTTCCGAAGGTTATTGTTAATGAGGATACATGTAGGATGTAATCACTGGCAGAAGTCTATGCTTCAGGGTACTGTAAGGCCAGCAGACAAGTCAGCGGCCAATTTTATCTGGCAGTTTCCCTTCCCTTTTATCAGAGCCATTTGGCTGAAGCCTATGGGGATTTAGAAAGAACTGCAGAGGCTTTGGCTTGTAAAATTCAATGACAAGGTGTGAGGGGACAAGAGACAAAGCCCAAGAATGAAAACTATGTGTGTTTTGGGAACTGCAGCTTCACGCTGAGCTGCAAAAGTTGAAGTATGCTCCTTAAAACACTAATAGCCACGTTAGAAGACAACATTCTAGTTGTCCTGCTCCAGAATTTCACTGGCTTGGAAGACCCCCCTGCAACCTTGTTACTTTGGAGGAAATTTCACAGCCAGCATGTTTTTTCTTGCCTCCATAGAATGAAACAAAAAGAAATTCAATACATTCTAAAGGGACCTGTGTTTATCCAGGCCAGGTACAGTGTTTCCTGTGTGTACAGTAGATTTTCAGAGTCAGAGGAAATATTATACAGCAGCCCAAACTGTGGGGCAATTTGAAACTCGCCACAGCCTTTTTTGTTAGTTTAAATGTTTAGTTTTCATGAACTCCCAATGGAGTCAATGGCAGTTGATAGCACACAGCACAGTACTTTGCTGGACTGAGTTCTGAAGGAGCAGTCATGTCAGGGAACATATGGGCCAGACTGCAGTTGGCTCTGCACAGGTGCACAAGAGACAGCACAAACACCCACTTGCAGGGTGGCCAACATAGGCATTGCTTAAAGCTAGTGTTGGTGGCATTCACCCAGAGGAGGTAGGGAAGAATGGGTGAAAGCAGAAATGTGTCCACCTGCTTGTTCAGTACCAGCTAGGGGAGCTGAATGGACTGAGAGAGAATTGCACACAGGACACTTTTGAAGGGTGGCAGAGCAGCACTCCTGTTTCCACCTGCTCAAAGGCCCCATGAGGAGTCCTAGCTGGGTCAGCCAGAATCCCTGTGGTAACGTTTCAATGCTGGATGACAGCTCCTAACTCACACCCAATACAGAGCTGGTCATTAAAGGCACAGTGTTGTCCTTGTGTAAACTTTTATTTCCATGAAGATAAGCTTTCTGGCATTCTTATTAATGGCCATGCATATGCTTTTACAAAATGTTGAGTTTCAAGGCAATCACAAATATTTGATAGCCAGTACTCCTCCTTCTCTCCCTCCCCACCCATACAGGAGCTGTAGGTGTGAGAGCTGGAGGGGGAAGAACTATATGTGCTGAGCAGCTAGCCCTCCCATTGAAGTTCAGAATAGTACACACACACACACACACAATTAAATAATAATAATGAATATGTAGAATTGTTATAGTAAATTCAGTCACAGGCATAACCTTTTCCTGGCAGAAGGATAGGCAACAGTAAATAAATGAAACTCCCTACAGACATCTCAGACTCCTCTACTATGCTAAAGTATTACAGTTGCTAAATTACAATATTTGTTGTACACTATACATAAACCCTTAAGGCTAGCGCTTCAGCTGAGGAAAATTGGCATTGTTCTATTAATTTCACCAATTTAAACAAGTGAGAGGAATGTGTTTCTTTGTGACTGTGAGATCTTTAAGACAAGAGCCAGGGCTTTTTCTGTTTGTGTTTGTACAGCTCATAGTGCAATGGGCCCCAACTCACTACTGTAATGTATCTAACAAAAGTTAACAATATAACTTCAAAACCTCTTTGAAGTGGCCTTTAAATGTGTGCTAGCGTGCCTGTTTTCAAATCTAATGAAAAACATCAAACATCTGAAATATTTATGGTAAATATAGGCAGTAAAATAATTGTTCATGAATTTGGCACATTTAAGACCTAACTGGCTATTTATGTATTGTTTGATTTATAAAATCACATATCCAACAGTCACATATCTAAGCATATTATGACTCATGGTTACGAAAAACTTCTTTCAGACCAGGAAGGCCACATATTGATAGATAGTGTGACTGAAGGGTCTGGAGTGTATTACTATTGAAATAAATAGAACCCTGTTTGCAGAACTCTGATTGCCAAATTAGAATGGTTTTACACTCCTTTTGCGCTGGTGCAAATGGTGACACATTGTGCAGGGAAACAGAATCAGGCTCAGGATGTAAAATCCCATTTAATTGGTTAAATGGTAAAATGCAGTGCTAACACAGTGTTTAAACGATTAAAGGAGGTGGGCAAGGAGGCCACTCCAGCCTCCTTGCTGGGGTCAGGCTAGAGCAACTCCTGCTACAGGCAGGGGTTGCTCCCAGTCCGCCCCACCCCACGCAGGAGCTGACACCATGGCTTCTGGCCTTCTACAGGGGCTGATGCCGCAGCTCCTAGCCTGCATGGGCTGGGAGCTGGCAACCCTAGGCAGGGGACCCAGTGGGGCTGGAGCAGCCCTCTGACCATGGCTGGGCTACAGGCAGAGGACTGCTTGCAGGTACTGGGTAACCATTTAACTGGGTATCTGTAAACATTCCTAAATCAGGCCTTTTTATCTTAATATGCTGTTTAGCAGTACTGTGACTACACAGTAGTGTAGTAGGGAAAAGTTTGCTGTTTGCTGTAACTGAATAAAGTGATACTTAATAGTAGTAATGATTTATAATATGAACAAGTGTAGAACATTAAGCACCTTTGCCTTTATCACAGATCCTTTCATTATGCCTGCAGCAAAGAGCTCAGACCTAATCTTTGTAATTGTTCAACTAATACTTAATTTGTGTGTCTTAAGTTATCTGTATTTTTTGAATAATCATAGTAGTGATGAGTGCTTTACACTGCTTCACTGCAAGCAGTCACTAATCTTTCTGACACCCCCCTGAGGTGGGTATTGCTACTGTCTTTAGTGGAGTTATTCTGAGATTTACATCAGTGCCAGTGAGTTGAGAATTCGTCTCTATGCAAATGCTCAAGGCCACAATGAAACTTAGGTCAGACTTGGAATTATAATGCAGGGTTGCCAACTCCCTG